GTGCAATTAAAAGGTTGAAAGTCGACTATATATTTATAAAATTTGACAGTATGAATCATCAAGCAATGGTGTATCTACTTTGTCACTGAAATTTATTATACATGAAAAAAGAAACCAACATCATTAACACAGATCTGTTAAACTGGTCTTAAAATTACTTGTGTGAAGTACTGGATTTTAATAAATATGGTGTTATGAATAAAAGGCTGAAAATAGGGCTATTCAATAAATGCACTATATCTATTGCTTTTCCGAGTAGAATGGGAGGATAATGAAATGGGTGAAGGGGGTCAAAAGGTACAAACTTGTGGTTATAAAATATGTATGTCAAGAGGATGCAGTGTACAGAGTGGACACTACAATTAATAACAATGCGTTGGGATCCCTGGGTGGCGCAGCGGTTTAGGGCCTGCCTTTGGCCCAGGGCACGATCCTGGAGACCTGGGATCGAATCGAATCCCACGTCGGGTTCCCGGTGCATGGAGCCTGCTTCTCCCTCTGCCTGTGTCTCTGCCTCTCTCTCTCTCTCTCTGTGACTATCATAAATAAATAAAAATTAAAAAAAAATAACAATGTGTTGCCTATTTGAAAGTTGCAAATAGAAATTTGCTAAGTAAAGGCTCTCATCACAAGAAAAAAATTGTAGTAGTGACAGATAACTAGACTTGTGGTGATCTTTTCAAAATACATATACACACTGAATCATGTCCACCCGAAATCAGTGTGCTATATTTCAATTATAGCTCAATTTTTATAAAGTAGAATTAAGTATGGCTTCAAATTTCATACTACATGATTGTTATCTGTAAGCATGGACTGAAGTGATCAAAACCTTATCACTCACAGATTTAGACAATTTAAAACAATTCCATAGCACTTTCTTCTTGACCTTAGTTCAGTTGTGTAAACTCATGATCCTTCTAACAAAATTCTATAGCAAAAGTTCAGTAAACTTAGCAACTTTCATAAAAAAGAACAACGAACAACTGATACTCTCTATTAGATATAATTTCAAGTACTTTATTTCTCAATGTAAAGGTAGATTGAATTATTTTTTTTCTGGATTTAAAAGATATATACTGATTTTTCTCCCCCTATACTCTTGGTTTATTTCTGCTAACTTGAGAAGAAATACAATTATTGCATAGATATAGAGTCAGAACATTTTATGTTCAAATATTGGCTACTCTTTTATTTGTGTGATCCAACACAAATTACCTGAGTTTCATTTTCCTCATTTTGTAGGTCTTATTTGAAGACAAGCTGTCATAACATATGTGAAGAACTAAGAGTGCTTGGCATATAGAAGTAATTCAAGTAATTGCTACCAGAGAAAAAAATTAAAATTATTCCATCATTTTATAAATAGGAAATATAACTGTATGCAGGCATCTCTCAGATATAACTTGATACTAATTCTGCAGAAAAATGTTCTAAAAGTTTTAAAATCTCATAATGTTCCCTAAACTTCTAATATAACCACATATCAACTGTATTATTGCTTACCTAATATTTTTCCAAATCTTTTTTTCCCTCTCTCCTCACCTAGAACAACATTTAGATTCCTAATTATATTTTAAAATTATAAACAGAAAAATAAAATCATAGGGATTACTTTAAAGATTATTTCTGACCTCTTCGAATCATCCTGTGTCTGGCCAATGGTGGTGGACCTCACTTTACTAATCATTGTTTTGAAGCTACATAATAATGTGCATCTATCTATAGATTATTTTTCTAGTAAAAACTCCTAATAACGTGAAATTTTTTTCAGTAGTTTATAAAGCAAGCAGATTTAGAAACAGTGAATGTGTTAAAAAAAAAACACACACACACAACAAAACCTAGGTTACTGATTAAAAGTTAAGTACAGGATGTAACAGGAGCTTATGATTCCCAAGCTTCTAAAATTCATTAATAAATATGGCTATTTCATACCAACTAATATAATAGGTTCATTAGTTTCAGGCTTTGGTCATAAAACATCTTTAAGAGATGTAACTATGATGATGATTATGAAATGTGATTAATGCCTTCTACTACCATAAAGGAGTATCAGGTTAAGGTTACTGGTAAAACTGAGCAAAACACATTCATTTTCTTTCGGAATTGAAACAGGACAAGAAGCAATTTCTGTATATTAGAGAAAATTACATAGTGAAAATAGCATATATATCTTAAAAGAAAACCTTTTTGTCAGATAGTCTCTAAATGGCCCAAGAATAAACTTGTCTTCGATGCTAACTCTGTAAATAAACAGGAAAAACAAAACAAAAAATAAAAGTTTGCTCATGGGGACATGTGATATCAGACACATTTATAAATATTATGGGATGCAAAACATCTGTCTTTGTGGTATATTTTATTAATAATTGATTAAAAATCAATGAAGAATTCACCTATTTTGAAATATAATTACTTAGTATCAGAATTCTATCAACCACCTGGGCTTTATAATCCAATAGTTTAAAAGCAATGGTAACATTTCTTATGAGATCTAAACCTCTCCATTTGAGCTAATAATTAAGTGTAGTTTAAAAAAACCTGCAAAAAAAATAAATAAATAAAAATAAAAAACCCTGCTAAATTAGTAAAAATATTTAGAACTATTTATGGCATTTATGCTACATCTCATTTATAACTAAGAAAAAACACTGGGTGGCTCAGTGGTTGAGTATCTGCCTTCCCAGGGTCCAGGGATCAAGTCTCGCATCAGGCTCCTCACAGGGAGCCTGCTTCTCCCTCTGCCTAGGTCTCTGCCTCTCTCTCTTTGTCTCTCATGAATAAATAAATAAAATCTTAAAAAAAAAAAAGAAAGAAAGAAATCATCTTGTTAATAACCACTTCTCCAGCAAAGATTTTTTTATTCAGGTTTGGGGAGGTCTATCCATGCCATAATAATTCAAACATATGACCACAGAGGAAGTCATAAGATACAGGTTTTAAGTTACACGTAAAGTGTATTTGTCTAATTGAATAAATTTCTCTTCTCAGCAAAGAGTAAGCCTAGAAAGACACATTTCCTTTTCTTTCAACCCATGCCAGATATCACCAGGAGGTTGGTAACCTTAAACCACTGGCTATTGGTAAGAGAGAGAAAAATAAGCTTAGTAAAGAACTGTGAGTTGAATGGGCACCAGAAGAAAACTGGCATCCCATATTGGAAGACAGGGGGTCCCTTTGACGATGTTACTTTCAGATAAAAAAAAAAAAAAAAGAACAACATCTGTTCAAATTTATCAAATTGATAATGTCCTTTTTTCATGAAATAAAAATACTATTTTTTAATTTTTTTTGAAATGAAAATACTATTAATCAATAATATAATAATGCATTACTTAGATGAAGACGACATAGGGAAAGCCTTTGTAGGAGTATCTAAATATTAGAATAAAAAAAAAGGATGGAAAAAAATTATTTCAGGGAAAATGGTAATACACATGGTGAAGCATAAAACAGCAGAAAGTGAGACTCAGGGATTATTCAAACTGGAGAGGGTGTTTTCCCCCGCTGAAAGCATTCCTGGTAATAAAGAGAAAATTAAACACTATGCAGATCAACACAAAACTCATGCTGATTTAATTTAGACCATAGCCCAGGAGATGGAGATCCTGGTGTTAAAGTCTACGATCTGAATACAAGGTAAATGTAGGAATAGGAAGTTAAAGTGAGCTCATCCTGTCTGCTTTTCTTTAAAATCTACATTTTTAAAATTTTTATTCATTTTTAAATTTTATTTCTATCTGCTCTTTTAGATTTAGCCTACAAAAGATTTAGATGCAACCAGAACATAAACACGTAGTACAAATTAAGTTGCCAAACTAGTTTGACACTATCAATATAACATCCATTAAAACTTAAGCAATAGACTTCTTACTATGCCTGGTCCCTTCCTCCAGGGACTTGTTTCCCTTCCAAACCAGTCCAACTTTGGAGGCCCTGCCAAAGGAGGTGTCTTACTGCCCCTTCTATCCCATGGTTCACTCGAGAGGGCACGTGACCCCAGAAGGGCCATTCAGAGACCTTTCCTGGGATTAAGTGAGATACCAATGCAACTCCTTCTAAGACTGAAGGGTCGGTATATTATACACATAAAGTTATAGGAGTCATCTTCCCAATTGATATAGACAAAATCCCACAGAGAATGGAGGGAACCCAAAGGAAATCACAGACGCAAAATGTAGACAAATTTCTGAAATATAAAGCACCTGCATCTAATCGTGCCTACATTTAGTCAACCCCAGGAATTTTCAATTATAGGAGTTGATAAATTCTCTTTTGTGTTTAAGCAAAGTTAGACCAAGTTTCTATTACTTGCAAACAAAAAAGCATCGTAAATATAAGAGACAAAGGAGAGATCTGGGTTTTGCAGTACTCATTAATACCTTACTGTACTCCCTAGGGCTCTCCAATCAAACAACAGCCAATTTTTCCCGTAGGGATTTTTCTAATCTGACACACACAAATACCTAAATTATCCCATTCCCATAACTTAATTACCAGTACCTTTCGGGGAGGGGAGAGGTGGGAGGTGATGGTGAAACCACATTATCCTATTTGATAACTTCCCAGATTTAGTACACGTTCTATATACACTTCGACACAAACAGTTCTTTCACAGAGGATAAAATCTATTATTAATGAAAATATTAATTACATGAAGTATTATACATAACAATCTTATTTTCTAATTCCAATTAAGTATTAACGGTACTTAAAAAAAAACTAAACTAAAAGCATTCAAACCAATTTTTAGGTTATAGGGCACAGTACATCAAAAACTCAACCATACTACATCAATATACATGGATATTGATGCCAAAGCCCCCAAACAAAGAAATCACAGATACCATTCACCTACTAGTCTCACGGGTGTGATTAATGAAAAGACTATTTCAGAAAAACAGCTATCATCATTTCCATTTCCAGCAGTTAAATCAATAGTCTTTCACCACAGGTTTCAAAGATGAACCAAACCAGAGAAAGTAATGCATACTCACAAATTATAAAGCATGTCAGCCATGTTGCTACGGTAGTACAAAGCATTTCTATAGGCGCTTTCAGCTTCAGAAATCTTGCTCTGACTCTTCAGAACATTTCCAAGGTTACCCCATGCTGCCAGGAAGAGAAAGAAGTATTCAGGCTGAGCGTCAATCCAATTATACATGACATAATATCAGGCCATCAGGAAGTACCACAGGGAGAGAAAACCTTCATAAAACATTTCTAAAATGGAAAATTTATTTCCTTTTTGCTCCAACATTTCATCAAGCCAGGAGATTAAATACAATCAAAGTCTTAAAAAAATTAAAGTAATTATTATGTCTCAAAGCTGATACACGTATGCAGTTCATCATAAGGCCAAGAACAATGTTATCTTAAGATCACCTACAAAGACTTCGTGCTCTTTCAAATTTCGGTAGAGGTCTTTGTGGCCTGAAATTATGGTGTCCTTACTGAACCAGAAACTGTAAGAAATCATCTTAAAGTAAGCAAAGATTTCATTCAAATATGATAAAACTGATAGATGACATAGAAGATCAGGATAAAGAGCAAGATAACTAAGTTCAAAGCAACAAAGAGCCTTAGTGGTAAAAAACATCATAGTGGTAAAACACTGTACTTCTTCAAATAGTTAAATATATATAGTTTATTCAGATATAACGTTCTTTTATACCTTCCCTGCTAATAAATCTATTTGTAGGAAAACCACTCTGTTCGTATTTTCATACATGTTTTTTTTTTAAGATTTTATTTATTTCTTTGAAACAGAGAATGTGTGTGTGTGCACAAGCAGGGGAAGGGGCAGTGGGAGAGGGAGAAGCAGAGGGAGAAACAGACTCCTTGCTGAGCACAGAGCCTGATGGAGGAAGGCTCGATCACAGGACCCTGAGATCATGATCTGAGCTGTTCAGACATTTAACTGACTGAGCCACCCAGGCACTGCCATATATAATGTTTAAATAAGATCTGTAATTTCTGTATACTCTTTATTTTTCACCCCGAATAATCATGATTTCTCAACATTCAAAAGACCAGATACACCATCAGCAACTCTCTGTATAGCATGGCTCTCAAGCCAACCTAGTCCTCAAACCTGGATATTTCTGCTGTCTTCCTTCCTAACCACAAGGAGATGTGTTATCAAGTCCTGAAACCAGAGTCCTTACCAGATAGAAAAGGTGGATGAGAAGGAAGTTTATGTGCATCAAGACATATTTACTTGAGTAATTACTGATTGTATCTGAAGAATGAAAGGGGCTGGGTGAGGTATCAATTTTTAATGCATAAAAATGTATATAATCTTTCAACACCAAAGTTGCCTGTGTGCCCTGCTAATTTAACACTGTGCCTTAATTTCCTCATCTGTAAAATAGGAAAAATAATTAGTATTTCATGGGTTTTGTGATGAGGATTAAATGAGTCAATATATGTGTAAGGTGTTAAGATGGTGACTGCCATGTGGCAAACACTCAACAAATATTTGCTATTATCATCAATATTATTGTGATTGATGCTTTTGCATTTTATAATGTGAAGCATCACTTATAGAATATCAAATATAATGAAAAACTGAATCCCTGAATTGAAATATACAATTTACTTTTAAAATATTGTCAAATTAGTTTAAAAATTCAAATACCAAATTTAATAATAGAAAATACAAAGTAGCAGGGAAAGCATATAGTAAATTATAATTATCTTCAAACTTAATAGGCATAATATCACATGTATCTTCTTCATCACATGTATTTTATATCCATTCAGCCCTCCTTCCCTGTCACCAACATTATCAAATTAATAAAGTATGGCGCTATGGAAACTTCTAATAGCCAGTTGTTTTCAACCCACTTCACCTCTCCAAAAGTTCTGCTTTGATTGTGGCATTAGTAAATGAAATTATACTTACATTAAATATTATTTCATCTAACCCATAGTCTTAAAACACAGATGCTCAGAAAAACATAACAGCCACGAACTTATCTGAATATTTTAAGTCATATTTCCAGGGAAAACAGGTTGACATTTTCTTCGGGTACTTATATGTCAGTTAAATAATGACATAACAAGTGTTTCTCTTTTTAATAGTCAACACAATATAGTTATATTTAGAATATATGTTTACTGAGTTGTTCATTTATTCGCTCATGTACACTTCCAATTATTAAACTAATACTGGCTAAGCATCTATTGGCGCTGGCAACTTCATTAGGGGCCAGGCACTTAGGCCTTGTACTTATATACAAGTTCTCATATAGGCAGAGCTCATGTTTGAAGTGGGAAGTAAAGTGGAGTGGGGTTGGAATGGAACCACACAATAGAATAAATGAGTTAACTTGAGATAACAGTTAAGTGCTAATGGTAAGCGTTAACAAAAAAGTAAGGGGGAGTGAATGTGGCTAATTTTTATAGGAATATTTTAGAAACAGAGAAATGGATGTGATGTCTAAGGACTAAAAGATAAGCCAGCCTTGCAAAGACTGGTAATGCTAGGTAAGGGGAATAGTAAAAGCAAAGGATCTAAGGCTCCTCTGGAACAGGCAGCAGAGGAGATGGTTATTTCAAAGTGAGAATACAACTCAGAATTAAAAATCACTGGCAAGGTTATCTGAGGCAAAGCCACAATGTGATACTAAGTGTCTTATCTTTGGTCCAACTAAAAGACTCTCACATCCTTATGATTTGGTCATTGCCCTGGGTGACTAACAAGCGAAGAACATTCCCAAATTAAGCATGTATTTTAAAAACAATTTTACCTACTTACGGATGAAAGAGGAAGGAAGGAGGAAGTGGTGGGAAGAGGAAGAAGGGTAGACCTTTGATGCTCTGAACTCATCAGAAACTCACCATCAAGCTATCTTTTTTCTACTGTACATCCACTTTCTTACAGACTACCAACTTGGGACAAGGTTACTTTGAATCCACGATAAGTGAGACAAAGCAAGATTACTTCATAATTTTGCCAAATACAAAAAAGAAAAAGGCCACTGTACAACCCACAACATACCAAACATCCTTCTCTCTTGCTGAATGAATGACTCCTTTATCCAGTCATAGAACTGTTCCAGCATCCAATCTAGAGAAAAACTCTGCTTCCTCAGACTCTTTCCCAAATCACCCAAAGTTCAAATTCTATGATACACAATCTCAGAATCCCCATAGTGTCGTGTTCCCTCAAGGAAAGTAGTAATTAAGCCAAATTCTTTTCTATCAGTGTGTTCCCGAATGTCTTTGGCTGAAAGGCATTGACAGAGAGGATTTCATCATATTGAAATATGGAAACAATTCCTTTTCAAAATCCTCCCTGCCTTGTTCTTTTTCCCCTCGCTTCTTTATTACCTTCATACCAGTCTACTCTGTGTTAAAGGGGAACTGGGGCAGATGGCAACTCCCAGGATCCAGCAAAGTATGCAGGTCACTTAGGGGCCACCTTTATCAGCTCAAAAATTGATCTCACATTAGCAGTGAGCATTCAAGTGTCACCCTGAATCATTATTTTTCTTAATCATAAGTTTAAGGCATCAAAATCCCTTTTTTCTCATAATTGTTGATACAAATACAGTATTGCATTTACCAAAATATATCTTGGGTTTTTTTTAAGAGCTGCCAAAACTTAGACTAAAATTGTTGCATACATTTTTTAATTTTATTTTTGTTTTGGTATGAAAACTGCTGTTACTATTTCCTGACTTTCAAATTTAAATGTGATTGATTCTTGCATCCATTCTACAAAAACTCAGTGCTAACATAAAGATCAATTCTAAAAATATTAAACTACCCTACAAAATTATGATCTAAAATTTAAAAATGCCACTGGCAGTCAACTAAATAGTAATTCTTGTTCAAAAAACTATTCATTGGGCAGCCCCAGTGGCGCAAGGTTTTAGCGCCGCCTGCAGCCCAGGGCGTGATGCTGGAGACCCTGGACCGAGTCCCACGTCAGGCTCTCTGTATGATGCCTGCTTCTCCCTCTGCCTGTGTCTCTGCCTCTCTCTCTGTCTGTCTCTATGAATAAATAAATAAAATCTTTTAAAAAAAACACTATTCATTTATCATATTTCAATGAGAAAACAAAAAAGCAAAAAAAATACTGAATTAAAAAATGATTTAAGATTTAGCAACCATACATGTGGTTTAGAGGAAAACATTAAAGTGAATTACAGAAAGTACATCTTAAAATGGCTAATTTCACATATATATAATTATCCTATAGAATTAGTGTGGCTATGGGATTTTTCTTCTATTACTTAAATTTGATCGCATCAACCAACTTTTTTATATCAGATCAATTTTTAAATCTAGTCTACTTGAAAGTATCCAAACAAAAACTTGGAAATATGGAGAAATATCCCAAGACTCATGGGTGGGATAATTCAACATGATAAAGATGCCAATTCTCCAAAATTAATCTATAAATTCTATGTAATTTCAATCAATATTTTCACATTGTTTATTAATAAACTCAAAATTTTTTTCTAAGCACAAGTGAAATATAAAACTTGATTTTTATACCATATTTACCATATACAAAAGATTAAGTTCCAGATAGTTTAAAAAATTAAATGTGAAAAGGTAAAGCTAACAAAACTATGTAGGAAAATATCTCTGTGGGAGGAAAAGACACTTCTTAAAAAGACCTCCAAGTAGAAGTCAAGCGGTTTAAAAAAATAATGAATTTGAGTATCTTAAAATTAAAGACTTCTAGTTATTGAGGAATAATATGAACAAGGTTAAACATGCATTAATACACTACGAGAAGATATTTCAAACATGTAAATAAGGGACTATACTTAGAAGAAAAAACTAACACAGCAACCAGAAAAAGATAAGAAATCCAATGGGGGGGTGGGGGGATGGGCAAAGGATATGAACAAAAATGAAAACAAAATAAATAAGTTAAAGCATTCTAACAAATATTCAAATTCTTTAGTAACCCAGAGAAACACAAGTTATGACAATGAGATTTGAGATTGGCAATATTTAGAAAACGGGAAAATGCCAGGTACTGGTGGGGTTGTGGGGGGAAGGCCCTGTGTACTCTTAGTGGCCCTGTCAGCCTGGGACCCATCCCGTTGTGCCATCTGAGAGAACTCAGTCCAATCAACAAGTCACCAAGCCCCAGATAAGCCCTAACCAGCAATCTCACTCCTAGAGAAATTTTCACCTAAGGGAACATGGAAAAGGGTATTTAATGCAAGCCTCTTGGGGTTGGCTGAGAGTGGGAAGCGATCAACATGTCCATCATGAGAGTACCATGTAGGACATAACATTTTATGGATTACTATGCAGAAGTGAGGCCCCACAAATCCCCTGTAAACAATGTAACATAAATGGACCTTAGATACCTTTAAAAAGACTCACATTAGAGGCATTTTGTGTCACCACACTGACTACAAATATTATGAATTAATTTCCATTCAAAATATCACTACACATTTTACAAAGATAAATTATAAATCTAAGGATGCAAACCAAGTACATTAGAGCAGTTGTCTATGGTGCAAAGAAAGGGGAAATGAAATTAAGAGTAGAAATAAAAGGGTAAGAATAGAGATAAAAGAATAAACACACAAATAAAAGAGAGGAAAGCTGCAGGGATCATCCTGGCCATGAGTGTAGGAATATAATTAATCTAACTGTCTGCAACTGGGTTTGGGGAGGGAGGCAACACAAGGGAAATGGAAGGGAGGGGAGGAAAGGAAAAGAGAAAGAAGAAAAATTAAGGTCACATCCCACATTCTTTTAAAATAGAGTGGGGTTACCCTATATCCCACTTCAGGAATAAAGGGTTTTAAGAGTCCCTAAACTTTTTCTTGTACTAAGACAATCAGAAACAGATGTTTGGGATTATCTTCAAATTTTCACTTGGTAATTACACTTTGAAGCAACAGAACTTAAAGATTTTATATTTTCATTAATATTTAATGTTACTTTTTTTCTTTTTTACATTTTTAGGCCTATACATTTTAGCGATGCATTCATTTCATAAATGTACTTTTTCTAAAGTACAGTTTTACTAGAATAAAATCTCTGAAATTCATCCAAGAAGTGATGATGAAAACTAAAAAAAAAATCAAAGTCCATAGTTTAATAGACAGTGTTTTTAAAGTCCATAGTTTAATAGACAGTGTGAGCACATGAATCCAATTCACACTTTAAACTCTGGAAATAAATATAATAAAGCCCTGATCTAAAGTTCAAAAAAAATGCAATTAGTTTATTCTAAGATCTCGATGTAGTTTTTAAAAGTCCTTCCCTGTAGTGTCTGAAAATATTCAGAGTATTCATTTTATTCTTGTTGTTTTACAAAATTTGTATTTTAAGAAGCTGCTCTCATTTGAGGGCACTGCTATCCCATCTCATGTCCTCACCTTCCAGCAGCAGAAGCCATGGCAGAGGAAAGAGTGGAGAGAGAAAAGTGGTACAGAAGGAATTTTTTTAAAAAAGATACTTTTTTATAATAATAAAAATAGCAATAGTGCCTTCACTTATTTAAAGCTTACTATACTACGCTTGACAGTGTCCAGAACTTAGCCTAATAAAAAACCTTTGAGGTATATGACTATACCCATTTCATTGATGACAAAAACAGAAGTTAACTCCCCAAGTAGCAAAAAGGTACCCACAAGGAAGGTCCAGATTGTTTCCAGGCATCAGGTAAAGCTAACTCACCCTCTCAAAACTGAGTTTGAATACAAAGTAGGCTAGCATATTATTATAACACCCAATATTTTTATGTATTTAATGGAGGGACCAGAGCATAATATGAAAACAAAATAAATTATTCAAATGAGTCATCCCCTCAGAACTGCTAGGGGCAAAACAAAACCAAAAACCTCCAGAAACAACAAAATAATGCTAACCTGTACCCAGATTTCATACTGTATTTTCCCCACCACAGAAAAAGTAATGCCAAACAATATATTACATGTTTTACATTTCTTTGGGAATGTAATTTTAAATGTCACATTTTCCAGTTAACTCATTGGAAATAGAACATACTCTGTATAAGCAAAAGGTGGTTGCTCAGAGATGCAGGGGACTTCAATACATTTATCAAGATCTTGTAAGTGCCCTGAAGATGTCTTGCATGGAAGAGAGATTTCGCAAAGCATTGTTTAACAAGTACATGATTTATTTCCTAAGACAAAGCATGTATGATGATCACATGAAGGGAGAGCAGTTACTGCTACGTCTTACTGAATAAGCTTTGGAAAATCTGATCTATGAAGTTATTTTATTTCCAAAAAGAAAACAATTTTTTTTCTGCTCAAATATCAGGAAGTGAAGTAGTAGGAATAACTCTTGTATCTCAAGGGCCCTTCATACTGATATTCAACTGCATCTAAAAGGTATCCACTTACGAAGAAACTTGACCTTAATTTACAACGAAAGCTCCTCTTGTACTGAGTCCACAATCTGCCACAGTTTATTTTATGTTCTTTGAAAGGCAGAAGAACAATTAAATATTCCCATCTCGCTAAAGTTGTTCTAAAGAGAAAATCAAATGGAAGCTCCCTCTAGAAATGTTAAGTGATCCTACAGCAATACCTCCAACTTTTTTTCAAAGCCCTCATTCAAATACATAGCATGGCTAAGTTCACAGACTAACTTCAAACTTATCCTATTGCAATTCCCTTCCTCTTGCTGTATTTCACAAAATCAATGCAGGGTGATTTGAGCAATTTTTTTTTTCAAGGCTATTTTCACTTTAGACTAAAAGTTTGAAGACATGTGTATTTACCTACTATTAAAGTAATTTTCTTATGATTTTGGAAGAAGATGCTCTTCCAAAAATTAGCGAAGTTGAAGGACTCTCAATATTACTATTTAAATTGAAGCCCCTTAAAATAAATAAATTAATTAATTAAAATAAAAAATGAAATAAATAAAATAAAAATAATAAAATAAAAAATTGAAGCCCCTTACCCTTCAGGTCTACCTAAGCGATCCTGCCTGAGGGTTATCACACCAGCATTTCCATTGCACTGGTGCACTGAATGCAGACACCACATCAGGAAGGACTCTCTCACTTTTGGCTTCTGCCCTCAGTTTTTTATTTTTGCCTTAGAATTTTCATGCAGGCCTTTACTTATATCACCATCTTGAGTTCTATGTAAGGGTCTGGCAATCCTGAAACATCTAACTTCACTAAAAAGGTGATAAATCCTGAATTTTGTTTCCTTCAAACATGAGTCACTTGTTTTAATTAGAATGCTACCACCAAACAAGGGTTCAGAACTGAAATCTCATCAAAGAAAAGAAACACATGCATGCCTAATGTTTTTGTTAAGAATTCTGCCTAATTCGGATTCTAGGCCTTTTTTTTTTTTTAAGATTTTATTTATTTATTCATGAGAAGCACAAGAGGAGAGAGAGAGGCAGAGACACAAGCAGAGGGAGAAGCAGGCTCCATGCGGGGAGCCCAACTCTAGGCCTATTTTAGTCTAAACTTCGTGTACATGTGAATTCTTTTAATCCACATAACACAGGAGATCATCACGCAGCTGACACTAGTTGAG